GTATGCCCTGTGCACAGCCATCCAGACACATTTCACTGCCTCCTCACAATAACTAACATGGGAGTTGATAAGGGGGTGTGCTTAATTCATTGAGTTCTTGGGAGGCCAGAGAAGCAGAGGCCCCAGGAGGAGGCCTAGAGCCACTAAATACTCAAGGCCACTTGGAGAGATAACTTGGATAAGAAAGCTAGGTGCCAAAGGGCTGTTTCCATCCTAGACTGACTCTGAAGCTCTGCGCCTGTGAAGGAAGTCTGGGCTCCCAGCTGGTCCAGAGGGTGCCCCTTCAGAGACACTGAGGCAATGGGTCTGAGGGAGGGACAGAGAGCCCAGAAGGTGGGAGACAGCTGCATCTGTGACTATCTCCAAATCTGGGCATAACTGAGCCCCTTGGTTATCTTGACTGTCTTGATGTGGCTTCTGCAGAACTAGACAAGGGGGCTGATGGGCCTGGGACTTATGTGAGAGCACACTGTCTGGCCAGTAGCCCAGAAGGTGCAAATACAGAGGCCAAAGCCACTGAAAAGTGAGCCCTGGAAGCACTCAGGGTGTCAAGGCTGGAATTGGGAAGAAGCAGGTTCTACCCTGAGGCTGACTGGACACCTGCAGAGGGTGAAGTGGGCTCGTCCCTCATTTGACACAGGTGTTTTTCAAAGCCGGGCTCCTGGGGCTTCTGGAGGAGATGAGAGACGAGAAGCTGGTGACTCTGATGACGCGCACGCAGGCCGTGTGCAGGGGCTACCTGATGAGGGTGGAGTTCAAGAAGATGATGGAGAGGAGGTAAGGCGGAGTCTCACCCTTCTTACCCACTCTGCCTCCGCAGCAGCAGGTCGTCACTTCCGGCTTTGGGTCACTCGTTCGTTCACTCATTCGACCAAGCCTTTGTTCAGCATTGACTGCACAGCCACTCTGTGCACTGGGGATATGGAACTGAGCCCCACCTTTTAGCTGTTCACAGAAGCATGGAAAACAGACCCATGCATGGAAAGCTCTGATACTCACCCAAGGTTATCATGAGAGCTATAGGCAGACGAAGAAGGACCTGGTATCAACAGACCTCTAGCCTGGTTGAGATACTGGAGTTGGCATGAAGGGCTCAACCTTCCTTCCTCCCCATCTTTTCATGTTGTGTCCAGTGCCCCCCCCCAGACCTACTCTGGTTCCAGATCCCCAAAACTTAGGTGTACCCTCCTACCCAGCTGAGAAGGATGCAGACTCTGGGGCCTGCGAGGGAGGGAGCTGCTAGAGAGAACTGTGGGTCATTAATGCGAGTTCTGTGGGTGCCCAGGGAGTCCATCTTCTGCATCCAGTACAACGTCCGCTCCTTCATGAATGTGAAGCACTGGCCCTGGATGAACCTGTTCTTCAAGATCAAGCCTCTCCTGAAGAGCGCGGAGGCTGAGAAGGAGATGGCCACCATGAAGGAGGACTTCGAACGGGCCAAGGAGGAACTGGCTAGATCAGAGGCTCGCCGGAAGGAGCTGGAGGAGAAAATGGTCTCCCTGCTGCAGGAAAAGAATGACCTCCAGTTGCAAGTCCAGTCTGTAAGTTTCTCCTACCTGGGTGTGAAAACACAGATTCCCAGGACAGCGGAGGAGCCGGGAGGGCCACGGGAACTGTCTATTTAAGAGGCAGTGGTGCCACCCAGTGGTCATACCAGTATTGCAACACTACCCTGTCATAAGTAGGGCTGGTTCCTCTGCTCTCTTCTTTGTCTTCCACAACAGATTTTGACATATTTTTTCCATGAACATGAAGGACCAAAGTGTGGTATTATAACAAATATTTGTCAGATCTGGGTATTATATAACTCATGCCTACTCAGAAGTCTAAGACAGGAGGATTGCCAAGAGTTCAACACTAGCCTAGGCTACACAGTGAGAACTAAGATGCCTAGGCAGCAATGTCAGATCCTGTCTTCAAAAAACAATACAAAAAAAATCTGTCCAAAGTGTAGGCCTTTCCGAGCTGTGGGGCACACGCCTTTAATCCCAGCCCTCAGTAGGCAGAGGCATGTGGGTTTCTGTGAGTTCAAGGCCAGACTGGTCTACAGCGCGAGTTCCAGGACACGCTCCAAAGCTACACAGAGAAACCCTGTCTTGAAAAATAAAAACAAAACCAAAATATAAATAAATAAATATAAATAAAGTACAGGCTTTATCCCAGTGGGGGTGGCATATGCTTTTAATCCCAGCACTAAGAAGATAGAGACAGGCAAATCTCTAAGTTTGAGGTCAGCCTGGTCTGCAGAGTGAGTTCCAGGACAGCCAGGGCTACACAGAGAAATCCTGTCTTAGGAGGAGGGGTGCACATCTTGGGGCTGGAGAGGTGTCTCATTGGATAAGAACACTTGTTGTTCTTGCAGAAGAGCTGGGTTCAGTTCCGAGGACCCACATGGTGAATCACAGCCACCTATAACTCTAGTTCTAGAGGATCCAGCTCCTTCTGACCTCCTTGCACACTAGGTGTGCATGTGGTGCACACACATGTATGCAGGCAAAACACTCACTCATACACCCAAAACATATTTTAAATGCACATTTTTTTAAAAAAAGCATCAACAAAAATAAATCATTAAAATTAAATAACCCAACTGAAAGCAGAAAGCAATTTTCCACATATGATTTTCAATAATGTGACTATGCTCCAAACAGTGCTTTAGAGAAGTCATTTTTATCAAAGAAATGGGGAGAAACAGAGTCACATCTGCAGGCCACAACACTCTGGTAGATTCATTGTCTCCTTGAAATTTATAGTTTTTTCTCTTAATAAACCCTCAGAGACTTCCTTTGGGTCTCTGGCCCAAGAGAGCAACGTGCCCTTGCCTACACTTGCCGAGTGGGAGTGAACTTACACTTCATGGGTGCATCACTCTCAGGCTCGGAGGACAGGGGCGCCTAGAACCTGCTGGGTTGAACTCCCAGATTCCCCACTTGTTAGCAGTGTGACCTCAGTCCAGCTCGTTTTCCTTCTGCCTTCATTTTCCCATCTGAAAATGAACACCATAGCAGTACTCACGGCGGATGGTTGTCAAGGAATCCGAGGGCTTGACGCCATGCCTGGTGCCCAGCATGTGCTTGGGCGTAGAGAAGTTCAGAAAGCTCAGTGAGGGTTCTTCCCAGCCCCTTCCTATTCGTTTCCCTGCACTGTGTATTTGGGGCTTAAATTCTCTACAATGGGAACATAATTTACCTTGAGAACATAATTAGCCAATCTCATCTACCTCCACAAACCTTGCTACAATCTTCTGGGACATGGACTTACTCTGTCACCTGGCCATGTGTGTTTCTCATTTTCTATTCTGTTGCTGGAGGAAGCACAACTTAGGGCAAGTGGACCAGCCCCTTCTGTTGAAAGTTAACACGTAGCAGAGTTTTGAAAACATTAATATATGTATAGCATGGAATACATGGGTCATGCGGGTTTGGACCAGTGGAAGAATGAAATACTCAAACAACACATCCATCAAACGTTAGAGACTTCCTTGTTTACAATAAACATGTGACTCCATGAACGCCTTTGTGTTGGCTGTCAAGTGATGCCCTTGGTGGTTAAGAGAGTACATAACTGACATGTGTGTAACACACGGTGTTTGTGTGCACCCGACCCACTCTTTAGTTCAGCTTAGGGGTGGGCTTCTAGAGGGTCAGGCCCTTTCTTCCCAGAGCTTGCAAAACAACAGATCAGAACTTGCGGTGATCGGCTCTTCCAGGAAACAGAAAATCTGATGGATGCTGAGGAGCGGTGCGAGGGGCTCATCAAAAGCAAGATCCAACTGGAGGCGAAAGTCAAGGAGCTGAATGAGCGGCTGGAGGAGGAAGAGGAGATAAACTCGGAGCTGGTGGCCAAGAAGAGGAATCTGGAAGACAAATGCTCTTCTCTCAAGAGAGACATCGATGACCTGGAGCTGACCCTGACCAAGGTCGAGAAGGAGAAGCACGCCACAGAGAACAAGGTGAGTCACTGAAGGCGCCTCACAGGCTCTCAGCCAATCCTCACTCATGGCCTAGGAGTGGGATGCAGGAACTGGGGTCAGACTGGTCTGTATAACCAGTAACTGGAAGGTTTGGTCCCTCCTCCTTGGCCTCTACTCCATAGCTGCTCCTCAGCTCTTCCTAGGAGTGTTGCTAACTTACGTATTTCCTTAACAGCAAGGAATGTGGCGTGGTCGCCTTTATCTCTCATGTATCAAGTGCAGGGAAAGGCAGCAAAAATGCCAACAGAGTCAGGGGATGAAGGAGGCATAAAACTGGATGGGCAAAAGTGGGATACAAGGATCCTCATGTGTTATAGGAAGGATGTAGAGGAAGCCAGTTGGCATTGCATAGTGCAATTAAGAATCTAGAAGCTGAAGAGTGGTTAGGAGTACTGGCTGCTCTTCCAAAGGTGGTTTACAAGTCTGTAACTTCAGTCCCAGAAGATTTGACTCTGGATTCTGTTGGCACTGAATACACAAATACATACATGCAAGCAAAACCATCCATACATACAAAACAAAACTTTCTAGGACTGGTGGTGCACACCTTTAATTCCACAACTCAGGAGACAGAGACAAACAGATTTCTGTGAGTTCTGGGTCCAGCCTGGTCTACATAACAAGTTTCAGGAGAGCTAGAGCTACATAAAAACCCTGTATTTAAAAAAAAAATGAAAGGAAGGAAGGAAGAGGAGAGAGAAGGGATGAAAGAAGGGAGGAATTTACATACCCTATGAACCCACGATTCTGGATGTAATCCAAGGAACTCTTCTATTGTGACTTGGGAAACACGCATAAAGGTGCTTGCATATATAGGGATGTTGGCAGCAGCTTGGGACAGAGCTGGGGACCATGTCGTAGGATGGAGAGGCAGACTGTGGCAGAGTCCCACATAGAGCACAGTGCACCACTGGGGCACCAGAGCTGGGTGAATCTGGTAACCAAGATGAGTATGAAGCACCCGGTTCTCACTGGGGTGAAGTGTAAGTGAGGGACACGGGCAGTATGATGACATTTACACACAGGAAAAGTCTGTGCGCACAGCACAAAAGCATATGCTTGGCAAGGATCCTTAAGCGCGTGGCATGATTCACCTAATAAAGGCTACCCGTGAGGCGGGACAAAGGGGCAGCCTGCTGGCTGTGAGATGACATTGACGGCTGACACTCAGAGTCAGCGATGGATAAACAAGAGTGGTGGGAAGAGACAAAAGGGAGAGTGGAGGGTGGAGACTGTGACAGACACTACCCACAGGCCTGCCCTTCTCACTGGTGGCGGCCATGACTCAGTGCCAGCAAACGGCTGTCAGGTAGGAATGTGAAGCCACCACTGCTGGAGGTTTGCACTTCCATGAGAAGCCAAAATTCCAGATTTTGTGTAGACTCTTACTTTCCAATACTGATAACATTTCAAAAAATTTATAAATTAAATATATCTGTGGTTGGATTTAGGCCACAGGTAGGAGTTAGCAACCTCTCATCTGGAAGACTGCTGTTCAATGAAGTTTCTAGTTAATGCCCAGAAGCTCCACGCATGGTGCCCAGGTCCTATCCTGTCAGCACATCTGGATTTCCTTGCCTCACACCTTGCGCCTCTCCCTCCCCTTCCTGCTTCATACTGAACCCTCCGTCAGCTTGCCGGCTAGATGTTTGGATGTGAATGATGAGTAAACACAGATTGATGTGTTGCCCTTCACACCCAGTGGATCTGCATTTTAATAGTGTCATTCCTAGTGAAATATAGCGTGTTCTGAAAGGAACAATCCTACCAGAAGAATCTGAGACACCATGATAGGCCAGAGGGCAGGAGGGGAAGACTAGAAGTGGGAAGGCTGGGCTGTAGAACACTCGGTGGAACATTTACTTAGCCTGGAGTTTGGTCCCAGAACCACGTACAACTAAACATGGTGGCCTATGCCTGCATTTCAGTATTTGGAAGGGAGAGTCAGGGAGGTTGGGAGTCTGAGATCAGCCTGGCTGACTAATATCAAGTTTGATGTCACTTTAGGCCATGTGAGGGCTTGTCTCATAAAACCCTGCAAGGCAGGCTAGCTCATAGAGTGATGTGCCTCGTCTCAAGTTCGCAGGAGGCCAAAGCAAGATCTCTTAATCCTGGGAGTTTGGAACCAGCCTGAAAACTGTTCAAAGACCTTTCCCCAAAACAGGATGAAATAAAATTAAAATGATAAAAAAGAAATTAAAAAAAAAGAACTAAGAAGCTACCTGTCCCTGAATGCTATGAAGCTAGAGAGACAGGAGGCCCCCACAGTTCTTGCTGCTGGGAATCGCCAAACTAACTGTATCAGTATTAAATGAGTGACTCTTGATTTGCTCCTAGGTGAAGAATCTCTCTGAAGAAATGACAGCGCTTGAAGAAACCATTTCCAAACTGACAAAAGAAAAGAAGTCTCTCCAGGAGGCCCATCAGCATACGCTGGATGACCTGCAGGCTGAAGAAGATAAAGTTAACAGTCTCATCAAGACCAATGTCAAGCTGGAACAGCAGACAGATGACGTGAGAACACGTGACCTCTGGGCTTTGTAAAGAAGGGACTGCGTAGGAACCAGCCTAGAGAGCTCACAGGCTGGAATCAGAGCCCGGGGCCAAATTCCAGCTGTGCCCTGACCCCAGACACACATATCTGAGGTGACCAGCAGGTCGCGTGACCTTGCGAGGCCTCAGGTCCCACTTATGAATTAGGGATACATAAAACGAGCTGGACTTCAGGGGACATCTCAGGAAAGTGCTCAACATAACATTTTCAGTGAAACAGAAACTGCCGCTGTCATTAGCGTCCACTTGTAGGCAGTTTGGGTTCAGAAACTTCCAATTCTACTCTACAGTGTTTAAAGCCTCATTCTAGGCAGGGGTATAACTCAGTGGTACAGCATGCACGGGGCCCTGATTTCCACCTGTGACACCTCAAAACAAAACAAAACAAAGCTTCCATTTATGGTCAGGAAAATGAACATTTTTGTTCCTGATGTAAGAGCCAGGTTTCAAGCTAGCTGGTTTTGGTCCCAGTTGTGGCTAGACTTTCCATAGGTCTCTGCTTTAACAAGGCCAGGATAGGTATGTTTCTAACTACACCCTTCTTTCCCTGAGTCCAATCCTACGCGCGTGCGCGCACACACACACACACACACACACACACACACACACACACACACACACAGTTCCTTGCTGACTGCCCTCAGGGCTAGGTGGTGAGGAGTGACAAGCCTCTACAGCCTCTGTCACAGGTGCCATTTGGTCCTTTGGGAAATGCGGCCTGGAACAGGCCAAGTGGGAATGGTCTGAAAAGAGGTACCAGGAGGGCCCCAAGATGTCCACTCCCTAAGTTACAGAACAGAAACAGAGAAATGGAAGACATAAGGCTGACTTCCTTCCGGGGCTGGAGGTCACAGGGCATGGGTGAAACAATGTTGGCTGCTGCGGTTCAGCCTGCTTCCTCAGCCATGTCCCAGGCTCTCTCTCCACCTGTGTCTTCCCAGCTGGAGGGCAGTTTAGAGCAAGAGAAGAAACTGCGGACTGACCTGGAGAGAGTGAAGAGGAAGCTGGAAGGAGACCTGAAAATGTCCCAGGAGTCCATCATGGATCTGGAGAATGACAAGCAACAAATAGAAGACAAACTGAAGAAGTAGACGATTCATGTTCTGTCCCCTCCCCTGCCCCATTTGAGACAGAAAGCCAAGCGTGCCTCCCTTCAGCGGCCTTTGTCTCATGCCGTTTTGTTCATTTGTTCTGTCTGCTTGCAGGAAGGAGTTTGAAATGAGCCAGTTACAGACCCGAATCGATGACGAACAAGTCCTCAGTCTGCAGCAGCAGAAAAAGATTAAAGAACTGCAGGTGAAGGCACAGAGCTTGCCTGCAAGTGCCCGGCTCGCCCTCCCCCATTTTGCTTTTCTAGCTGTAGCAGAGCCGTTCTTTTCTTTCTCCTCCCTGCCTCAGCAGCAGGCCACCACAGTGGGCCTTTTTCTGTAGTTTCTGAAATAAATATGCAAACTTTTCTAAGTGGCATTTAAGTATAGACTTCCCTGGAAAGAGTCAGACTGTGATCTAAGGGCCAGTTGTTGCTGGTCAAGGTGCACTGATCACTGTCCCTAAGTCCATGGCTCCCTCAGTCTCCTGAGAAGGAACTACCAGTTTCAGGTGGATATGGATCTTCCAGGATCCTTTTGGTACGAGTTTATGGATATGCTGAAGACCCAGAGAAAAGATATGGTATATGTGTGAAATTTTATTCACACTTCTTCATGTTTTCAGCATAAATCTTTTCATCCTAAGCATGCAATTTATTTCTTCCAAACATCAGCAGGTTCTGCAGGGCTTTCCATGGTGGACTTGCTGCAGCATTGTGTTGCTGCTTGGCACCAGGACAATCCCTCATCACAACTGACTGATGGACACTTAGGCTGTTCTCCTGCTGATGGACACTTAGGCTGTTTCCCAACAACTGCCGTTGGTCCTTTGTCCCCCACTCAGTGATAACATACCCTCTACTTGGTTCTGCCTACCCCCATTCCTTTAGCACCTAGTCACTCCTGAAACAGATTGGTCTCTACCCAGCAACCTTTAACTCCACTGACCCTTTCAGGCCCGCACGGAAGAGCTGGAAGAAGAAATCGAAGCCGAGCACACGGTCAGAGCCAAAATTGAGAAGCAGCGTTCAGACCTAGCCAGGGAGCTGGAGGAGATCAGCGAGAGGCTGGAAGAAGCCAGTGGAGCCACTTCCGCCCAGATCGAGATGAACAAGAAGAGAGAAACTGAGTTCCAGAAACTCCGCAGGGACCTGGAGGAGGCCACTCTGCAGCATGAAGCCACAGCGGCCACCCTGCGGAAGAAGCACGCGGATACCGTGGCAGAGCTTGGGGAGCAGATTGACAACCTGCAGCGGGTCAAGCAGAAGCTGGAGAAGGAGAAGAGCGAGCTGAAGATGGAGATCGACGACATGGCCAGCAACATTGAGACAGTCTCCAAGTCCAAGGTATGACTAACGCTCCTGGTCTCGGCAGTCATGTCTTCCCACCCTGTGAGCAAGTGGGGTTTGATATGCCAAACTCAACTGTGTGCTCTGGACTGTTAGCTTTTTTCCCTGCTGAGTTGTCTAACTCCTCAAATTCATTGAAGCCACATGTCCTAAATGCCTAAAGCTACTATAGCAAAATATCTTAGACTGGGTGATTTTATAAACAGAAGTGTTGCTTACAGTTTGGGAGCTGCAAAGTCTCAGATCAAGCGACCAGTAGACTCAGTGTCTGGCTGGGGCTCATCTCTGCTTCTAAGACGGTGCCTTCTCTCCGTGTCCTCCCATGTCAGAGGGAGCAAGGGAGTTAGTTCTCACCTCTTTATTTGTCGACTTAGTTTTAAGATAGGGTCTAACCATGCAGCCCTGGATAGCCTGGAACACTATATAGATGAGGCTAGCCTCAGACTCAGAGATCTGCCTGCCTGTGACTTCAGAATGCTGAGATTAAAGGTGTGTGTGAACACACCCATCTTCCCCCCCTCTGTGATGGTGGGGACCCAATTACCATCTACCCCCCAGAGGTCCTACCTCTTGATTGATGGAGATTTAGTTTCAACTTAGGAATTTGGGGAGAACACAAAATGCAGGGCAAAGTTTTTCCAGTTTGGTTGAATGATTGGTCACCAAAGTCAGTGTCCTTTCTGGGACTCTTCTCATCCATCTGCTGTGTCTGAACTGAACCAGTCTACGGCTGAGCTAACACGCAGACTTCACGGGTATGGTTTCCTCCATGCCACCTTCTTATCACACAGGATTTGAGACTGAGTGATACAGTCAGTGCAAAATTAGCGTTTGGGGTCTCCGGTACATGCAGGCCCTAGAGAGAGAAGAAACGGTGGACCTGGGGGTCTTGAAGAAAAAACACAAGAGGCAGGAGAGATGGCTCAGGGTTAAGAGCACACACTGTTATTGCAGAGGATCCAAATTCCTTCCCCTGCATCTAAGTCTGGTGACTCACAACTGCATATGAGCCTGGCTCCAGGAAATCTAGCGACTCTGGCCTCAGAGGGCATCTACACATATGTACACGCATCCTGAACAGACACACATACACATAAGTCAAATAAAATAAACAATATTTCTACAGAGAAAAAGAGCACCGGTTAGACATGGTGGTGCCTGTCTGCAATCCCAGCATTTGAGAGGCCAAAGCAGGGTCAAGAGGTCAAAGTCAGACCGGCGTGGTAGCACACACCTTTAATCCCAGCATTCAGGAGGCAGAGGCAGGTGGATCTCTCTGAGTTGGAGGCTAGCCCGGTCTACATTGTGAGTTCCAGGACAACCAGAGCTACATAGACCTTGTCTAGAGGTAAAAAGTTCAAAGTCCCCCTTAGATAAATAGTGAGGCCATCTTGGGCTATATAACACCTTGTGTCAAAAAGGGGGGGGGAAGGAGAGAGGGAGAAAGAAATGGAAGGAGAGAATAGGAATAGTCACTCCTTAGTATGTGCAGTGAATCGGTTCCAACGTTTCTGTGGAAACCTGTGGTGCAGGACTTCTGTAGGATGCATGAGAATGTGCACACATTCTCTCCTTTACACCTTTTCCAGCTCACACCTCCTCGGATGATGTAAATGCCATGTACTTCACAGTGCTCTGTTGTTCAGGGAATAATGCCGGGAAAGAAAAGTCTGGAGTGTGGTCACCTGGAATTCCACCACTTGGGAGGCAGAGAAGAAGGGCTGCCATAAATTCAAGTTCAGTCTTCTTCATAGCTAGTTCTAGGCCAGCCCAGTCTACACAGGGAGACACTGTCTCAGAAACCCTGAAAACTGAACCAAACTAAAGCTAAGTCATCAGCGCATGCTAAGCACAGGCCATTTCACTCTAGTATTTCATTTCTTTGGGCTTTTAAAAACAAATTTTTCCTAGGCAGCCCAGGTTGGTCCTGAACTTGTGGCAATCTCCTGCCTCAGTTCCCAAGTGCAAGTGCTTGGATTTACAAGTGTGTGCCGCCACACACAACTGTTTCGGTTGTTTGGATGTGCCGTGAGTTCCGTCTGAGGATGTTGGTATCCGGAATACTGACACATTAGGAAAATGGAGCATAAAATGATCATTTATTAAATTGCTTGTTTCTTTTTTTTTCTTGCTTAGAGATGATGGGGGTCAAGCCTAGGACCTCACATAGGCTTGGCAAGCATTCTTCCATTGGTCAGACCCCTTAGCCAGGGCGTTAATACAGATGTAAAATTAAGCGAGAAAAGACACAGATGACTGAAGCCCAGAAGACACGGCCTCCTTTCCTTTAAGGCCTCGTTAAGCCATTTCTCAGAAATGCTTACCCAGCAATATATTCTGTCTCCCCTCTCTACATGGAACTTTCTAGGACTCTTCACGCTCTCTGGGACTCATGCTAATGAGGGTTCTGACACTTAAACCCAACCATCTTCACAACTAAGCTGCTTCTCGTGACTTCACACAAAATTCCTCTCCGAGAGCAATCATGGCCTCCTTGATTTAAGAGCTCCCTTTCTATCAGGATGCTCCACGATGTACTTGAAACTGTTTGGCTGGCTGGGCTGGGAGAAGGACCATTACTGACCCCAGTGGGGATGTGAGCCTCTCAAGTGGACCCCTAGAGGGTCAGAGAGTGTAGTTGAAGAGGAGCAGGTGGTGAGGTCAGCGAAGAAAAATGAACTCTGTGTAAAGAACATCTTGCTGTGTGTGTGTGTGTGTGTGTGTGTGTGTGTGTGTGTGTGCTTGGACATGTATGTGTGTTGCTTGAGTTGAACACAGGACCTTACATATGCTAGGCAAGAGCTACCACCAGAGTCCCCCCTTTGCTGTCTGTTTTCAGGGTCTGTTTCACCTAGTATTGATTTCTTTTTTCCTTCTGTTCTTTAGCATGTATTTTATTGGGGGAGGGCATGTGTGTGCAGGTGCCCACAGAGATGAGAAGAAGCATTGGATTCCCTGGAGCTGTGCTTACAAGTGGTTGTGAGCTGCCTGATGCGGGGGTGGGGGCGGGAATCAGACTCTGGTCCCTAGCTTAGTTCATGTCCTATGGCTGTAGTAAAATGCTTGAGGTTCCATAGATGATAAAGAAGAGAGTTCTGTTTAGCCCATAGTTCTGAAGATGTGACAGCATCTATTTAGCTCAAGTAAGGACCTCCCAGCAGATGACCGCTCAGAGGCAGGAGCATTTGCTAGGGGATCCTAGACGCCAGCCAATTTTACAGCAGCTCGTTTCCACACTAACGAATCCAGTCTTCAGGCAACAAGCGTTAATCCCTTCAGAGATGTCCCCAATGTCCTAGTTACTTCTCACAAGGCCACACCTTCTACAAAGCTTCCCCACCCCTTGACACCACCACACCAGGGGCCGAGTTTCACCTCATAGCATCCTGCTTCTGGAACGTCTTTGCATTACTCCATGCTATTGGTTTTAAAGTCCAGCACTTGGATTTGCCATATGCTTTCTTTTTAAGGTATTGTATTGTATCCTTTAAGTTTGTGTTTGAGAGTTATCGTCCCTCACAGACCCCGCCCCTGCCGGAGTTCTTCCATGTGCATCATCCTCAAATAGGTCCCGAGTCCTTGAGGATGGTATTTGATCTAGCACCTCTC